GTGAATTGAATTCGAACGCCAATGTGACTCAGGCCGTTGGGTTCTCCACACTTCGGACCTACCACTCTGCTCTTCTTCTTTCGTTCCTCGAGCGACGAGCTTCTCAGCTGATAATGTTTCCACATTCTTTGCTCGGCAACGGATCTGTCGGTGTAATGTCGGCTCCGAAGAACACGCAGCAGTTCTCTATCAGCCGGCAGGCTCCTCCTTTGCCACTTTCTCCTCTGTCTGCCACTGACGACTCATTTCGTCTTTCCGTCACAAATTTTCCATTAGCGCCCACTTTTTTGCTGCCACTTTGAATGTGTGAAGAGTCTGAACTTTTTTTGTGGTGGTTTTTTAGATTAATGGATCCTCGCATACAGATTTCACCAGAATTCTCCATGTACATGCCGTGACATCCTCTTCGTTATTGTTTCCCAGTTCCGTGCTCGGTTTTTAACCTAGGCCTTTATTAATTGCATCCATTATGGGTAGAATACTCAGACTCATCAAGTTTCTTATATCCATGAGATCCAGAAACGGGTATCAGACTTGGCTGGGAACAATTCACTGCGAGCAGTCCAAGTGGAAACCATTCCTTTGCAATTTTCCCATAATGCTTCCACATGTCACTTCAATGGCAAACCAGCAGTGAACAAGAAGAGAAGACATTAGTCGATGGCATCCCAATTATCGTATTTTTTTCTGTTTTTTTTCCTTACCCAGTGCTTCGATTAGTCGGCTAACTCGCATAGAAGAGTTTACCATAGTAAGTACCGCGTCCAAAATGTTCAGAGTGCAAAATGGACGTTCCTTCTACGGAATGACGAATTGTTTAGTGGTTGAGCTTCTTATTTCTATCTTTCTCAGTACAAGTGAAAAACGTGATTCTGTGTTTTCTACTCCGTACTCAATTGTTCAAATATGTGCCTTCCTTCGTTGATGACAGAAGATGAGCTTGATTCATCGTCTGGATGGTGTTGTCACTGGAGTACAATCGCAATTGAATCACCGTCAAATATTTTTTCCTAAACAAAACATCTTCGTTGAAATATGACACAAGATTGCTGAGATATTTGCAAAACTCCGGACTGCTGGTGTCTGCGGTGGAGACCGAACACACCATTACCTTTTCGGGGTCTAACGCGTTCACCGCTAAACCATGCGGATTCTTCGCCTGTCTCTAACCCGTCTTATTGACCTAAATAAGTAGGCAGTAAATAAAAATCGACGACACTGTGATCTATACCATAGCTTCAGACTAGGTTCATGCCGATTTATACTCACCAGATCAATCCCGTTGACGGGTGATTGCTAATAGCGCCAACACAGATTCTATTGATATTTGTAGCATTTTTTGCATCTTAAGCTCCATCTCTTTCCTATTTACGAAAATTGTGAGCTAGTGTTTGTTATTTATCAGGGACGTTTTCTTTAGCATGCATAGTTACTTTTTCGTCTACTGCTGTTTGTTTTTTTTCAAGGCTTATCCTTTGAAAAAATGGCACAGATTGAAGTACAATAATTTATCTGGTGATCTTAGTTAATCGTTTAATGGTAATATTAATAAATGTGGCATTAACAATAGTAAAAACTTGGGTATTTCATCATTAGTATTTGCGTTTTGTTGGTTGGCTAGGTATTTTTGTTTTTTGAGTCTCGCTGATGCTCTTTTAAGGCTTTTCCAAAGCTATCACGGTCAATTTCTGGCTGCTGACGATCCGAGGCACTGCACATTTGGCGTGGTCTTTTTTCCATGTTTCCTAATGCTGTAATAATAATAATAATAATGGTAATAATAATTGTAACAATAATAACAATAATAAATGACAATGATAATAATGGCAGTAATTAATGGAAATATATTTTGCAGTCATTGTGACGTAGACCACTGTTGGCTTCCTGTGAAGATAGGGATGTCGGCCGACTTGTTTGTACCGATCCATTACAGTTAGCATTAGCATCAACACTGTGGGGGACCGGTTGGATGTGCCACTTGCCCGTTCTTCCAAATGCTTCTCTTCACTAAGTGACTTTTCTAAAGACCTCTCATCCACCTATAGCCGACGGCTTCGTTGTAGTCACAAATGTTCTGAAGTGATAGGAGAGCTCACGTTACGTCGTTGCCCATAACTGTAATCGCTTTTATCTGTGTATGATATAATATAATATATTATTTATTCCCATCTAGTAGATTTTTTTGTTTACTTTATTTTATTTTAATTGATCCTTCTTCACGTCTGCTATGCGAATCCCAGCACTTATCACATCCAATTCGTTTCCTCGTATCTATCATCCACAAGGGTCTTCTAACTTTTGCGTGTGGCTTCGGTTTCTGCTGGAGGATTTCCATTCTATCCGGAATCTCGTAGAACGTTGGTCGAGTCGATTCTCCTGGTGTCCTGAGATAGCCGAGCTGGAGCGTTTCCAGTTGGATTGCAGAGAGTGATTTTTTTTCCAGGGAAGTCCGGTAGCAAGTTTCCGATGCCGGAAGAATGAGAGGCTTGGTGGGCCGGGAGCGGAATCGAACTAGCACCAGTGCCATGCTCGTGATGACGGACATCACTACCACTGTGCTATCCGCCCATCTAGTAAATTACAGAGTATTTGTGAAAAGTTCCCAAAACCGACCATTATTTAACCTCGGCATGAATAATAAGTTTTGTTTCACATCTTTCGCACTAGAATAAATTTTTAAAATGTTCTTGAAATATTGTGGTTGCCGTTGAAGAAAACTACTAAGGGGCTTCACAGATCTATTTCATATGAGGGCAAGGTCCTAAGCGATTGGAAACTGTATGAGAGGCGATTCATAGTAAGTAAGTAAGTAGACCTCATGTCTAACACTCGATCGAGATACCTATGAGTTCACATGTCTCTCTCACATCATAGTTCGGCGATCTTCTCATTGGTGCCGTATGGTTAGAATTGGTAAAAAAGAAGAGTATTTTCGAGGAGTACTATGGCGTTTATGTTCTCTAAGTGAAAATTCGCTAGACGGTTCCGCAGAGAGGTAGGAAAAATAAAGACTTCACATGCCCCCGCTTAAGCTGCTCTGCGAGTATGTGAATATCGATTAGCGTTGATAAAAACTAGCATTGAGGAAAGTGGCGGTGAATCATCTAGTTTGGAAATAAACAGCGCCCAGGTTCTATTATCCTCGCAGAGCGTCTAGTCATTGTCAAAGGGACGGATGACTGAATTTGGCTGTGAAATTCGATGTTTTTCTTTAATAAGCAGGCAAGAGCTTGTTATTGTAGAATTTATTAGGATACAACAGCAGACGTTTCGGCGGTTCCGCCTTCTTCAGAGCTTGGAAAGGTCAAATTGAGATGCGATCTACTCAACCAAACACTTTCATGACCCCAACAGGTAAAACTTAAGAAATAAATTTGTATTCGCATAAGAAACAGCTTCATTTAAACACCTACCGTTTATTTGTTGTAAGTATTTAAGTTAGTTAGTGGATAGCAGCCCCACAGAGTAATACATGGGCGAGGACTGAAGAAGGCGAAACCGCCGAAACGTCAGCTATTGTATTCTAATAAATTCTATAATAACAACCTCGTGTCTGCTTATTGAAGAAAAACATCGGATTATCAATCAATGCCGAGGTTAACAGAAAGTCGGTCCTGGGAATTGGCTATGAAATGTTAGTTCTCTGGAGGCAGGGCAAAATGTCACGCAAAATCAACTTCCTGTTTACATACTTAAAAGAAGATTGTGTCAGTGATGAGAGTAGATTCAGTCGAAAGTGGAAATATGCTGCCATCACAAATTTACAATAAACCAGTTTGCGGACAACAGTGCAACATCTAGCATAATAATTCTATTATAAACAAGTTCTCGCATTTCGACTTCTCATCGTCGTTGAGTGAAGTGAAGAAAGGCGATTTACTTCAGCTTTGCCATGCACCACATTGCCGACAGCTTGTTCGTACTTTTTATCCTTTCGCTGTGAAGAAGCTGCTTTTTTCAGATTGTAACAAAATTTCAACGCTTCATAGTATTCCGTGCCATATACTTTTCGATGAAAGTGTCAAAGCAACGGATCGACATGTATTCCTTCATTATACTCAGTCCTCAACAACAACTAGTAATTCCTATTCTAGCACTAACGGTTAATTAAATCTGCTTTAAAAAACAAAACAAGTGATGTAACGTTGAAGCGGATGCGCAAGAGGCGACTAGAAACCAGTTGCAGACACAGAAGACCTCTCAACTGGGTGACAATTACGGGATCAACCAGGGCCTCATCCTGACCATCGAGATCAGAAAGGTTTGTTTGTCCATCTTAGTCTTCAAACTGTTTTTCTCTACGATGTCGACCTCGCTGTTTAACTATCAGTACGCCTTGATTTTCCACCTGGTTAAGAAACACGTGATGGCTAAGGCTAAGTTTCTCTCGCACGTCATTATTTACCGATGTTTCGTGAAAGCCTTTTCATGCACTAGTCAGTGAGAGTTCGTTGGTGGTCTGACGGTGCGATCTCGTCATGAAAACTAACCATAATATGACAAATTTAACGAAAAAACATGACAAAAGCAGGTTCTGCTCCACCATGTGGACGAGTTCCTCGCGGTTGAATGTTTAATGCGATGCAGCCTGATGTCGTAAGTAATGCGATGCTTTTAAGGGGCATACGCGTGACTTGAGATTCTGAATGTCTCAGCGTTTATGTGGTTTTCCTTATTGACGCAAATGTTTGCTTAGTAATTCCATCAACTACTTCTATTTGGTCTGTTATCGCATACAGTTACTGTTTTTTTACAGATATTACATGTTGCATATATTACGGCTTGAACAAAATATATCCCTCTAGAAAATTTAAGTCAATTGATGACAATTCTCTAAATTTTATAAACTTCTATTGTCCTTACATGCTTATACTAAGCTGTGTTCGTCACATTTACATATCTATAGCCAACTTGTAACGATTGGAGTTACTTTTCACCTACTTACCTACTTCGCTTTCGACGAGCTTGATCGTGCGACAGTCCTTTCCTCCTTCTCTAGGATGGAAGATGCATGGGCGTACGTCTTCTCCTATCTGCCACCACGAGAGATACTGAAGTGTGAGCGAGTAAGTAAAGCATGGCGACAGCGAGCTCATCGGGCCCTTCATCAAATGGACGACGTCGATTTCGAGCCGGATTTTCCTGGAGCGTTAGCCGACTCTGCCCGCCTCGAACGAATACTGCGTAGGCAAAAGATTTTATTTTTTTTTAAATCAATTATGAGAAAGTTATACCCAAATTTTGATCGAAACTCCTAACCCGGCCTAAGCAATAATGATGTTGTCCATTTCTCCAACTGGAAGACCGATTTCTCTGACACGTAACTATCCAAACCATCTACGCATTGTGCTTTAGGAGTGCGCAAGTTCGAACTCTTAAAAAGGAGCGATACGAATTTTTTAGGGTTATAAAAACAATAAGTAAGAAAAGAATAACCTTTAAACCTTCCAACGCCTCATCGTGGCTGGAACGTGTTCCTGGGTGTCGGACTGCGATGTACAGCGGGGAATTCATTCCTGGTAGGGCCTCCCAAGCTGAGAAGGAGTCTGGCGTTTCCATCAGGAAACCTAGCTAAGAGTAAAGCAATACCAGGATTCACCACCGTTCTGGTATCAAAGTCGCACGGTGGCAAATCTCCCTTTGATCCACAAGGGCTGCGACTGCCTGTGGTGTTGATGACCTGGTGGAGTTTTTGGCCAAGTTGACTTCGGGATTCGGGACAATGGCTTAACTAGCAAATCTTCAAAAAATGAAGATTATGCTGGGGTCCGCACAACTAGTAAGGACGGGCCGTTCAAGTACCAAGTATCAAGTAAATATAAGATTTAAAATGATACGCACTAAAATTTGCTATATATTTTATTTAAACTTTGTAACGCCGTGTCTTCCCTAGTCACGGTTTCGAAAGGAAGAAAGGAAAATATCCTCGAAAATTATACAAAACCCCACCTCACTGTCCTGCACACATCATTTGAACCTCTAACACGGAATCACTTCTACCACGTTCATCATTAACTCTTTTCAGCTTCATAACTTCATAGAAAAGCCGTTGATTAACAAAAAGTGGAAGTCTTATGAGTCGCTCATCCATATGGAAGTACGCTTGCATAACAAGAATTTCTTGTAGTGCACTAAAACATCTCGAAATAATATTGAAAAGAAGAGTTTATGCACAGAAAATGGGCGTGATGTTATTCTTTGGCAAATCATTTTACTCATTGCCATTCTTCAGACTAGAATGTTGTATGCGAGTGGCGTAAGTTGGTTGGTTGGTTGGTTAGAAGGCTCCCTACAATAAACATGGGACCCATCCCGCGCTTCAGGCACGCCAAGCCTTTCATTCCTCTGGGTTTAGCAATCTGGTAGCAGACCTATCTAGGAGGATAGCAACACTGATTCGATATATTGCTAGGCCACCGCTGGTGAATGTAAACGCCAAAAACGGATTAAATCACCTATAACGATGCTTAATGATGTCGAATGCATGGCCCATTCTTCAGTGATTGATCAACACCGAGAGAAAGTTTTGTTAACTGGTGGCGTTATCCAGCAAATAGTTAGTAAACCGTGTGATCACGTTATGTACAGGACTTCGTGACTGTAAAATTTCATTGCCATTCAGCCTATTACGCTGTTCAATTTAACTGAATATTAGCGAATGAAATACACCACTCATAAAATCAAAGCATACATTAAGGAAGAAGCACTTGTGCTGTTGAAACCACGACATAATCACTTTTTTGAGTCCATGAATGGGAAAAAACAGTGCTGCTTTATGTCAAAACGGCCGACAATTTTGTGCATGTGAGGAATTCTTTCCATAGTGAAATGAAAGATAGAGTACAGAGCTTTGATCAACGTCATAGAGATGGGGTGCTTCTATTGCGCTCACGTTTGACACTGCTGAATTAGATTGTGACCTCGGTTGAAAACTTTTTGATGAGTTCATGTTTTAACCCCTCTTGCACGAGTTTGCCACTATGTAACCGTTCAAGGAAATTGAACGATTTTGTTGGGAATAACATCTAGCCAATCACATTGTATATTTAACTAACCACTCTTCACGGTGTATATGTCCCTTACGATTCCTCACGTTGAAGGAGAGGAAAAGAATGAAAAATTCGGTCGCCATTGCTGTGTTCCACCGGTCTATATTTGGCCTTTATGTGCAGGATTATGTGGCCGACGACTGCGGAAAGTGACGTTTCGAGTGACCCCGCGAAATGAGAAGTACGCCGTGTTCGCCAGCGAACACCATGTGACCAGAGCTGTTGTCGAGGCGCTGGTGAGCACCTGTCTTCACCTGCAGAGCATCGTTATCAGCAGGTAGCTTGACATGAATCCTCCATATCCTATTCGTAAATTACTTGACATTTTTCTTTTTTATAAATTGATGCAAAGTGATGCCACTTATCTAATAAGCAAGCTTCTCCATCAAATGCAATACGAACGAGAAATATTCGTCCTTGCTCTGGAGTTAACGTTAGTGCGGTTATTTGATGTGTTCATGATACAACAAGGAAACGAAAGTATTAGAGTAAGGTCTAAATTCACACTATACTTATATTTTTTTAGATGGAATTCGAGGCGTAGTTGGGCCAGCTGTTCTAAAAATACTAAGTGCACAGTAATCTAATATCAGCAGTTACTGCAGATTAACACACAGTCCTCCTGTTTCCGCGATAATTCTAGCCTCCTCAAATACGTCGTCGATGATCTGCTTAAATGAGCTCATAAAGTCATCCAGCTACTTCTATCTCGTTATGGAGCTAGGCCGTTCATCAAATAAGTTTTCCTACCCATATCCACATAATTTCAAGCATTCAGAGGTAATTGTTCGGGTGAAAATTTGTCGTGAAATTACACGTCGTGAACAAATTTTTTTCATGGACAGTGTTTTCTTTAAATTCACCTGATGGCTCATGATCGCTCCTTCTACACGTTTTGACGAAATCACCGCATGGCTAGGGCTCGGTATTGTAGGACTAAGAATGGTCGGTTCATGGCCCGAAGTGGTTCCAGTTGATCTATACATTGTATCGGTGCATGGTTCGATTGGTATATGGGGCGAAAAACAAAAGTGTGCCGCGTACGACGGAACTCGCAAGTTTAATAAAACACATTGAAATACAGTGAGTTTTCGAAAAAGTTCGTCCTAACTGTTTCAGTCATACTGAAAGCGAGGTTCATTTCAAATTGAAATATTGTTGTAGTAAGCAAATTTGTCCTAATCGGACAACTCTGCCCCAATCGTAGTAAGCAAACATGCTCCAATTCGATAATTGATGACCTCATTGCAAAAATATGGACGAATAGCAAAAAATATGTTCCAATCGTAACAATTCCGACCTCTAGTACCGTCTTGCCATTTCAGAATGATCATCACAGTTGGAGCCGTTGAGGGATTTTCACGACTGCCAGCGTCTTTAGAGGTAACCACGTTCCGAAATTTCTTGAATTTCATATTAATAATATAAGCCTCCATAAACAATAGAAATGTGAACTGTCGTTTGCAGTTTTATGAACCAAAAACAGATCATTTGAAATTATGCATTGTTGCGCAAAATGTGCTAATATTTTTCAGTACAGCAAATAAATGTACTGAAAAGATAAGGAGTGAGGAAGGAAATGCCTAGTCATTCCAAAAAAAAACAGGAAAGAGGGAACAAAGTGCTGATTCTTTGTTTGCGACTTGTAATGAGTAGTGTCAGTGAACAGTAAATGGAATTAGCAGGGTGGTGTCCCACTTAAGCTTATGAAATCCTTCTAGCGTACAATAAAAGAAGAGTCAGAAGGACAACGGAGAGAGACGTTTGGCTCACATAATGGGGCCTGCATTTTTGGCGAACGTGGTATTCAATTTTAGTGGTCCATGGCGACGAAAGCTTGTTTGCGTAAGAAGATCGTGGTGACGTATGCGAACATCTTTAGTATGTTTACATTTTTTGAAGTGCGTTCCACTCTATCAATGAGTAGTTATTTTGTTTGTGGCCGACAACGCAAGTTTTGTAGATGTCAACAGTTCTTTCATTCGGTTCATTGTCATGCATCCGTCATCTAGGAATATCTTCAAATTTGGACATGGAGACAGCTCTCATTTGATGGCTTTATCCACTTTACTAATGTCGTTGAACTCGGTTGAGTTGATTTTCCTTAGTATATTCCATCTACCCTATTTTCCACTCACACTTAGGCCCTACCCTCTATAAACGGTAGCATGCCATTTTCAAATGGCGGAAACTTTTCACGAACAAATCGGATATCAGTTCGTCTATCTTGGAGAAATAATGGGTTAATTAGGCCCTTGATTGGGTCACACTACCATAAAGAGACCAAAAAGAATTTGAGCCGCCGTAGTAATGGTAATGACACTTATTTAACGTACTTGTTTTATCGTAATACTTGCATGGACACTTGGTTACCCGTCTTCACTGGTTATGTGGGTCCCAGCATAATTTTCAATTTCCGGAAATTTACTGGTTTAGCCATTGTGGTTTCTTGGAGTCCCGAGAACAGTTTGTCTGACCAAATTCTGTACCAGGTCGTCACCACCACTGGCTGGCGCATCCCATGTGGATCAAAAGGTGATTTGCCACCAGGGTACTAGTTTGATACAGGGATGGTGGTGGATTTCGACGCTGAACTCCTTCTTAGCTTGGAAGATCTTGTCGGGGGTATGAATTCCCCCCGTCGTAGATCACAGTCCGAAACCCAGGAACACCTCCCAGCTACAATGAGGCGGTAAACCGTTGGGAGAGTTTTGTCCTAATAAATGGCCAAGTTTATGACGTCGTAATGTAGTATTTTATGAAGACACGTTTGGTCTGTAGATTTTCGTGGTTATTCTTCACAAGCAATTCTTGTGTGGATTGCAGGAGACCCGATGCATTGCTAGGAGTGGTATTTGACGTTGACGACCGAATGTGAAAATTCGGTATTCTGGGATATTCTGAGCTAATCACGCCAGCTTAACACATCTACAAAATACGGAGAACAAAATGTTATTAGGCCAAGTATTACTGCAATAGAAGAGGAATCGTGGACGATGGAATGTCCAAATTGTATTTATACGGTAGTAGAGCAATACGGGTGCAAACGTTGAAATTCAAGAAAGCGAACAGATGTGTTCATCATCCAGATTGCCAGCTATATCTGTCACAGATGTTTTCATTTAAGTCACATTTCTGAGTTCGTACTAGTTCGCTAAATTTAGATGAAGGTTATGACACAGAACGAAAGAACAACTGAGCACCAGCCAGATTTTCTCGATATTTACGCAATAATTAAACCTATAGTATATAATATATAATAAAAATAATTATAAAAAAAGTAAAAATAATTAAACCTATTTCCGACTAATTAATTAAATAAACGAGGTAGGTAAAAGAATGGATCACTAGGAATTTCAGAACTGAAACTTGAGTTTTGAGTGGATTTAGTCTTTTCTATGTTGTGACTTGAATTCGCAGAAAAGCACAGAGTGATGCGACCCTGAATGCCATTGTCCGATTTCAGGAGTTCAGTGTTTCGAACTGTCGAATGTCTTGCTCGACGACTGAGGTGAACGAGGTGGTTCAGACCAGCCTGCGCCACTTACTCATCACCAGTCCTAAACTGAAACGATTCGAAATCACGGTTAATCATTTATTATGTATAGTTTTCTTTCATCTTGCCCTCTTTGCATTCGAGGTGTGGGTCTCTGCGTTTCATCTGCGATTGTGGAATGAATGGCTGTAATTTCTTACCACCAGACTACGTTTCTTACATTTTCAAGTAAAACTTTGGACTACAATGGTGTACTAAATTATCCGTTAGCGGATTTCGCACTTTCAAAGGCGCATTGAATGAAATACGATTTGACGATGTTGTCACAATCTTAACTCTTTTATTTACTGCCTTTTTCTTCTTAATGGCAGGGTATGTTGTGAAATATAACTCGTATGAAATGCTGAGATATTTGCAAAACTCAGGACCACAGGTGTATGCAGTGGGGAACGAACACGCGCTGCTCCCCGGTAGGGACAACAGCGCGTGTTCGTTCCCCACTGCATACACCTGTGGTCCGGAGTTTTGCAAATATCTCAGCATTTCATACGATGTTGTCACAGAAAAACAAGCTAAAAGAAACTACCGTTCTGGCATACTTAACCGCAGATATAACCATTTTCCTCTGTTTGTTTTCATTTCGTGAGCACTAAACAAACGTGAGGAGAAATCGCCAAGACCGACTCTCAACTAATCTTGGCATTGATCAGTGATTTACTGTTTTCTTGACATGCACAGACGAGGTTGTGATTGTATTGTTTTTCCACAAAGGCTGAGATTTCGGCGAATTTCAAATCTTCTTCCTGGCCTGGAAATGTCAAGTTGCCTGTAACCCATCCAGGTAAACACCTCCAAAATCAAACCCAGTAAGTGCTGAACCAAGATTTCAATCGCATTGAAAACAAAATAGTCTTTCGCACCACTCACCGCTCTCTATGACTCTTGCACTGAGTACTTCGCGTGCAAAGCAACAGAAGAGTTCACATGGAAGGGTAGCGTGCCTCTCACATTGAAATACCAATCGTCTTAGATACTGTGTGAGATCATGCGTGAAAACGAAACATTCCACCTTAAGATTCATCTTTGGATTCTTGTAATTTATCCAAAAAGCCTCGAGAGCTTTGCGCACTGAAGTTTTCGACTCCCATGCGATGACGATGACTTCTATTTCGAAATCTTCTCCGTTTATATCCTTGTATCCTATGAGTACCTAGTGGAGCACTCGATTTAACTTTAAACCTACCGATCAGATGTTCTCTTACACCTACGCAGAGTGGACTACCCGTTTCGCCAATGTATTCGTCACCGCACACTTTGCAGGAGGTCACAACGTTTTATATTTGTGCCTATCTCGCTGGAAATGAACACCGGGATAAACGCGGTCTTGTTTTCGTTAGGCTTGTCATTTTGTCGTTTTGGAGGTTTTTCCTCTAAAGCTGTTCCCGGGAGTTACAGTTTCGTAGCCATTGAAAATGGCTGTTTGTGGCGCCGATTTGAAGGATTCCTCTTACTCTACTCTTTTGCACACACTGGCAGCTGTTCAAAACATATTTCTCATAAGCGTCCTTTTTTTGTGAAGGAAGAAAAGAGGTAATGAACTAGTATGCTTTTCTTATTTGGCTTTCGGTACCATTACGCTGTGTATCCGTTTTTTGACAGGTATATTCCAATTTTCACCAACAGAAGCCGGTCATTTTTTGTTTCTCTCGGGTTAAATTTATAACTCTGACTATTTATTCAACAACTCAAGACATTTGTCCGTCCATCTTGTGTGCAGCGGATGACAAAAGAATCATCTAGGTATCTACTGTAGAGTAATAACTGGGAATCGATTACTGGTACTTCACCTTAGACGTAAACGCAATGGTAAGACTTCGTGTCATTCGCTGTCACATTAATCAAGCCTCTCATTTGTGCACAATATTTTCCACACCACCAGAAAGCCGAGCAAGTTAGGCAATATTTTAAAAGAGCCATGAGCTGCTGAATAGACAAGCCATATATGTTCATTGATCCTTCGTGATGTATAAGGAGTTTGAGCATGGATTGCATTGCGGAGTGATTTGAAAGGTTTGTATAAAGGGTAAATAAAGAGTAAAGTGGCAAAGTGGAAGGACTATATTGCGTTCGCGGGATTAAGACACGGGTTACGTAGACAATTCAGAAACATTTGGGTACTCGTAATGTGGGCTGAAGTGTATTTCAGCAATGTATTTCTATAAAAAAAACCTCTTTTGATAGAGAAGAAACAGCTTAAATACTACTATACTATAGTATAAGTATTCGTTTCTTTTAACCCATTTATTGTAATCTGTCCATTGATGTATTTTTTGCTCTAATCGATTTCTACCAAAGACGTTGCAGGGTCGCGGTCAGGTGTTCGACCATTTCGTTCTGGACGAGTCAATTCTTTTACTATTACCCATTTCCATCCGTGATTTGTCGATTTCTGCTGGCGGCTCGTTGAAAATCACCAATCTCAATTTTCTGAAAGGAAAGCTGTGAGTGGTTTCTACAATCTACTAATCAAATCATTGCCAGCTGTGTAAAAAACTGTCTATAAACACGCGATTTTTAATCACGCAATCGTGAAAGGACGGTTACAGATTATGGACGGTAAAATGCAAGTAAAACTGAAACTGTTAGGAATTGCGGCAGGGTCTGTGCCACGGCAGAATTCCTCCAGTGAAAGTTTAACGTTTTTTAAGTCCGTCATTCTCTCATGTTTTTCTCATCAGAAATATTTTCGAAGTTAGTCTAGGGTTGATCTAATAAATGTGACTACTCAATAAATTCCTTTAAAAGGTCCTCACCATCGGTTACAATACATTGTACAGTTTTTTAAGACTTTACTCTTTAAGTGTGATGGAAGTTACTATCGGATAGTTCTGTTTGGCAACAATAGGATGAACCGTTCTCTGAGTGGGTTCTTGTTTAGGATCGAGTCGCTGTCGTTGCAGAGGTCGCTGGTCTCTAGTGCAGACCTGACCGAGTTGGAGGCGATGGCTCCGTCTCTGACAACACTCGACCTCTCTTCGTGTCTCAATATTACTGATGGTTCAGCGCTTGGGAAACTCAACAATTTAAGGTGATTACTAAAAGGGCTTGTTATCTATTTCAATAGCAAAAGAGAAAGGAAAATCGACAAAAATGCCGATGCTCGTTTGTGAAACTGTACGAGAAGAAAAACAACTAAGTAAAATAATTAACTTTGGACGGGATTATGTGCTATCGAAGCGAAAAAGATTGTACAAATAGAGTTCGCCATGGATAAATAATAAAGGAGAAAGCTGTCGGCGTCGATCAATCCCTGAGAGATGCGCCATGCATTCTACTTCACTAAGCAGCGTTGGAAGAGATTGAATGCATACCTGGCCTTTGCAATCACTAGCGGTGGCGTACCGATGGATCCAACCTGTGCTGCTCTCCTTCCCAACAAGTCTGGTACCAATTTGCTGACCCCAGAGGGATGGAAGGCTTCGTGATCCACGGGCGCAAGGCTCGATCACATGTGTGTGTCACAGGGCGCCTCCGAACTCCGCACCACACGCGCCTCTTATCATAAGATCACCGTATAAGCGAATTATTTTGAAAAGAAAAATAATCGAAGTGAATAAGTAGCCACATAGTTTATGAGTAGGGCGCGAAGCAGTTGAAACAACTTTGATTTCACTAGAATTTAGGGGATTTAGCCGTCTTCGGAATCTAGAGTGCATTCTGGCTCACCGGCCAAAGACTCATAGTCTTAGCCGAAATTTAGAATAAAAACTTCAATCATACGCTATCATGGCATTTTACCCGAGGAATTCTTCAACAAGAGCACTAACTTACTGAAAGGAAGGTGATCAACCGTACAGATTCTCACTCTAATAACAGAATGCAGTTAAGAAATTGCATGGCTAATAGAATGGACGATAGGGCATTTATTAAACTGCTCTCAAGTCAAGAGAGCAGCGATATAGCTAGTGGTTGCTCTTGCTAGGCGTTCACTAGAGTAAGAGTGCGTAAGAATTACTCTCCTTAATTCCTTTCTATTTAATTCCAGTTTTTCCCTAAGTGGTATGTTCAGCTGCACAAAGATAAAGGATAAAGCGTTCAGCGTTGATCAATTCCTGAAGGATGCGCGCCATGCATTCGACTCCATTCGTGTCATCGTAGAGGTCACTGAATGCATGAGCCTGTTGATGCGTCACGTCAGTATCTTAGCCGCCAGTAAACCAGTAATATATTGTAATACTATCCCCTTAGTACAAATTTCTATAGATGTTATTATTTGAAGTATGTCGCTTTAGCAGTTTTGCGGTCACTGCTTATTCAATCAGGTACCTCTACCTGGGGAACAATCGGGACCTGTCCGACGAGTCTCTGCTGCGCATCTGCGCCGGCTGTCCACGTCTTCAGCACCTTTCGCTGGACAACTGCTCCCTGTTGTCTTCCATCTCTCTTCCAGCACTTGGTGCGTTGATTTATTTATTCACATATCTCTGGTGCTGAAGTTACTATTGTGTACAATCTTGATTAGTTCCATATTTCACTGCTCCGAATTTGCAAACAAAAACTTACCATCATACACACCATACCATCACTTACATCCATGAACTATTTGCAGTTCAATGCTGGGAGAAATTAGAGTTTTGAAAAAAATCAAGAACGAAGCAAAATGATGTACCCCTTGAATTTTCCACCTTGTCTTTCTTTTTTTGTTCGCATTCAAACTCTAATATATCCGAACTATGTGGTTTATGGACGTTCAAAAAGAGTAGCAAGAAACATTTATGTCTGCCAACGTCGAAATCAAGCGCAGTAGTTGTATATCGAAGTCATCTACAATGACGAATCTCCTTCATGTAAGTATATAAAGCTGACCAGTTACAAGCACGCGTGGCACATCCAAAGAGAGGACATCACGAAGCAAAAGCGACCTCTTGTCTTTAAACGCACGTGGATTCCGAGATCGACGACCTGTAGCTGCTGCGCTGAATTGCCTCCTACCATCGGAGCATACGTGAACATTTTCATGCGTACCTGCATGAGTGTGCTTGGATGAACACGGATTCTGCCTTAAGCGTCGACTCGGTTAAAAGTCCGCAACTGAGCTGCTAGGAATTACATGGTAGGCGACCAAATAGATCAAAATTCTACTTTTGAGTATGCAAATATCCTCTTCACGGCAGAGACTCGGTAAACAACTGTCCATACGTTCCGGCCAGTAAAACGCTAAAATAAGGCGCTTCGTCCGAATTTTATATTGCTTGTGTCCTTTGAGGAAGGGTAATACACTGAAAGTTAAGACCTTCGATAAGGAAAATGTAGGTACTATAATATCCTGGTTTATTGGAAAGCTGACAACAAGTATTTATCAAGCATTGATGGAGCAAACATTCTGGCAACATTTCCTTTTGAAGAGCCGAAATTATTGGAGTCAAACGTCTACATAAGTTGTCTCATGCGAAATGGAAGCTTATTCACATTAGCATTTTATAAAGTTGTTTAAGTCTATCTGAAGCTAAGATATTGAATTGTCATACGGACCTTAAAAGAAAGTCGGTATTGAAAACGTTGCTTTCCACTACACACAGATGTGGCCTTGCACTTATTGAGTTTATGACTGAATTGCTGACGATATAGATGAATTGCGTATAGCACAGTGGCAGTGATATCCGTCATCACGAGCATGGTCCTAGTTAGATTCCGCTCCGGGCCAACCAAAACCTCTCATCTCGCCCGGGTAGGGAAATCGGTACCAGGCTTGTCTGGAAAAGAAATCACTCTCTGCAATCCATTTGGGAACGCTCCAGCCCAGCTATCTGAGGACTCCAGAGATAATTGCTCGACAGCATTCTACGACATTCAAGATGAAGTGAAAATCCTCAAGACCAACTGAAGCCACACATAAAAGTTGGAAGATCTTCGTGGACAGTGGATGCGTGGAAAGGAATAGAATGTGAGAAGTGCTGGAAACTGCACAGTAGACGTGACGACAGGTCATATAAAATATAAAATAGATAAAAGAATAGTTGAATTATAGGTGCGTGTAGCGCAGTGGTTAGAGGTAATCTGCAATATACACATGGCTATTGGCTCGCTCCCACCCCACGGGGTTACCGAGCTTCCTACTCCTCCGGACTCGGCAAATTGGTGCCAGACGTCTCGGAGAATAGCATCACTGATTTAATATATCGGTAGACTACACCAAGTTATTGTATATGTCAGATACACATTCACTACTACGATGCTTGATGAAATCGATCGCAAGGCACATCCTTCAGAGATTTATCAGAGCTGAACGCTTTATCTTTTATCCTTCCACAGGTCAATTATGCTCTGACAATAATGAAAGGGCAAAGGGGAAGGATGCAAAGGGAGCTGGTTAAATGCAGTGAAAATCTGTAGAACTTTACAGAATGACCTTGTTGGGGTGGAAAATTTCCAATTTTTTCCAAAACTTGCATTTTTCAAAACAGCTGGATGTTAATAAACACTCTAGTTCGGCATTTAAATCGTAAATACACGGTATTCTGGATGTTCTCATGTTTTGAGTCGTCACCTGGCCACTGTTCAGGTGGCCTATCTGAGCTGGAGTGGCTCTGCCTCGCTGGAGTGAGCGGTGTCGACGATTCTGTGCTGCAAGCACTCGCCAACTGTCGCCAGCTTCAAACGCTCGACATCAAATTCTGCAGAAAAGTGGGTTATCAGAGTTTTCAAAGAAGAATATGTTTGCAGATTAGAGGAATTTTTTCCTGGATTGTTTCAAATGTCAGTGCTTCATAAACTGACTCAGCTTTATTATGCATCTTTATCTAATTCTAGTCTTTTCGATCAGTTATAAAAGCTTATAATCTTTTTTTATTCTTCTTATCCCTTATGCAAGCCACTTGTGGCGCAGTGGTTGGAGGCGCCACTGCGACACACTCGTGGAATCGATCCCCATGCCCATGTCCCACCAAACCTTCCATCCCTCCAGGATCGGCAAATTGGTGCAAGACTTATCTGAGAGGATAGCAGCACTGGCTCGAAACATCGATAGGCCACCGCGAGTCATTGTAAAGGCCAGATATGCATTCAATCACCTCCAAACGATGCTTAATGAAGTGGAATGCATGGCGCATCCCTCAGGTATTGATCAACGCCGAGAGCTTTATCCTTTACCCTTTATCTTTTATGTTTTTTATCTTATTCTTATTGCTTTACTCTGACGAAGTCTACGCCAATTCTAAAGAAGTCAAGTTGCATTGCGATAGCAAGTGATCTTTTTACTTGGGCAGTTTCTGGACTGAGTAGGTAATAGCGCAGTGGTCACTAATGCCGTCGATCAGGGAGCAAAAGCGCTAGTTTGATCTACTCCCCAATGATCGCGTTCATTCTACGTGGCAACGCCTTAATTCGGCTATCTTCAAGATTACAGGGAGAATCGACTCCAGCAGCATCCTACTAGTCGGAAGTCAAAAGGATAGGCGAGTATGCTGAATGTGGCAGAGCATCGGAGCCCTGCTTGTTCAAACTCTACAGTGTCGATAGTGCGAAAATTGGCCGCACATCACTAGTGCGAAGCGTTGCCAATTTGTACGGCATCCATTTGTTCAGCTTTCTCAACTTTAAAATTCTCTTAAGATGTCCCGAAACAGTCACTCCGAGTTCTTCTACAAGTTCTCGAACATGACAGGATGTATCTGCTTCCACCAAAGTCTTCAATTCTTCGTCGTCTGTAGCGAAGGAATGTCCGTGTCCACCTTCCTCATCCTCAATGTCGAATCTGCCACGACGGAAGTTTTTAATGCAATATCGAGTTAACACTTGATTGGCCCACACCTCACTAACCTTTCAAGTCGTTTGACCTGCATTCAACTGAATTTGCATTCTTAAAAGTAAATTTGTCGAAATTGCTCTTTTGAGCTCTTTAACTGTGAGCTTTGAAATTTGTCAAAAGCATGTTTTTCATTACAATTGGATTGTACGATGCGAATGCAGATAAAACCAGCTTCGCACTGATATATAGTATTCCATAATTTGCGGAAAGAATTGCGAAAACATAACCAAGCAAAATAAAGTAACAAATCACACATTGATTTTTTAAAAACCTAGCACAAAGTGATACGAAGATCTCAATAGACCCTCGTTAGTGGTTCCTAGTAAAAAGTGTTTTTTTGGTGCTAACGGTGAGCACTTAGAGTTCGGGGCGTCAAAAAATGGGAAAGTTTCTAATTTATTAAATCTTGTCAAGGTAATTAAATTTGGAACAGTTTCTATATCGATTCCAACCAATTTTGTTGTAGGTAACCGAAGTGGGTTTAATGATCGTCTTTGACTTCCCGGTTCTCTTCCATCTCGAAGTTCAAGGAGTGCGGGCCTATTCGAAGGAGCTTCTCCTGCACGCCAGACGTCTTCCGAAGACGATCCTCAGCGACTTTACGGATACACCGGTCTTCATCGTGCCCACACTTCCCAGTGCTGTTGTCGGCTGAGTTCTACCGGTTGCCTAAGCCAAGACAAATAAGTGACTGTTTCAAGTATAGATACACTACACCAAGTCGAATTCCTTCCTCACTTGTATTAATCCACAGCTGGATACAATTTCTTTCATAGCACTGGTGTAGATAGGTCAGTAGGAAGCGTCTTGAAGAAGCTCCTGGCCAGGACAACGATTGTATACATAAGAGAATTTACTCTAACTATGTGTACGTAATGAATGAAGCTAGTAAGAAGTTCTTTGAACACGTCTTTAATTTCTCACAGACGAACTATTGCGTTGATGTAAAAATTTCTGCCATTTTATCGTCTTCACATCTATAAATGAGATTTCCAATAAATATTTGCTTCACGCGTAACCGATGAGTACCATTTTAAAGCTAATTTCTTGTTAATTTTGCCATGTAATGTGTTCTCTGAAATTTAGATGATTTTACATCAGTTTAGACGGTTCTCAGTGGATAATGATGCCGACGTTTTGCTTCAGAGTTCAAAGTCAGACATACCAACGTGCAACAAATTGATAACGTCGTTAAAGCAGAAGCCTGAGAAGAGTTTCCAAACCTTCATAACGCAGGTGGTTCGGAGCGTTCTTTGGTGGAAAAGTGGAAAACGTGAAGTGGGCGCATTAGATGTTTCCACCGACCGTCTGAAGCGGGTGACCGAAGCCTCCAAGAACAGCTTGAGGGTGGATTGTAGAAAAACTCAACACCCGTTTCTCATGTGGAAAAATGGGAAAGCTGGAAAATCCCAACAGATTTTTGTCATCCAACTAAACGAACGCAGACCATATCATCGTCGCGAAGTCTGCTTTGTCCTTTTCTGCACAGCAAAGTGACACTGATCTCGACCGAATTTCGCATTTATTTCTTGTTAAGAAGTAAATCATTCTACTTAAAAGATAAAGTCAAAAATTAGAGTTCCCTGTCCGTTTTTCTTTTAATTTCTACATGACTAGAGTATTTGGATAAAGATAGAACGATAAAGTTGATAGATTTGATCAATGCCTGAAAGAGGCGCCATGCATTCGACTTGATCATGATGAATCGCTGAGACGAATGAATATTGCATATTTGACCTGTACAACAACTTGGAGTCGGTTACCGATGTATCAAGTCAGTGTTTATACTCTCCAAGACAGATCTGGTACCAATTTGCGAAGCCTGGGAGGATGGATGTCATGGTGGGCCCGGGACAAGGGATGTAACCAACGACCATGTGTGTATTGCATGGGTGTAAGCACTCCGTCATACACACTCTTCGATTAGTTGAAAACTTGACAGACTTACCCGTAAACGGGATTGGTCTGGGATTGCTGACGACGCTGCCAAATAGAAAACTAGCTGAAAGAAAGGTAAACGAAGGACACGCATGCCCTAGTGGTGAATGCGTTAACCCCCGGAAAGGATAATAAGGCCTTCTTTCACCACAGCAGACCATTGCGATCCGGAGTTTTCCGTAATACGCTGCGGCGAAAAAGTGTAATAGGCAGTAAATAAAAGTTAACATTGTGATTTCCACTACAGCTCCAACTTAACTGAGTTAATCGACGATTTGGTTTCCCCACATCAATCCCGTTGATGGGTGATTGTTAACGGCACTGGCAGATACAAAACTAGCTGAGAAAAAGGCGAAACGGAGGACATGATTGGTGTGGTGTTGAACGAGCTAGCCCTCGGAAAGCGTAATAGAGGGTTCATCGCCACCGTAGACACATGCGGTCGGGAGTTTTGAAAATATCTCAGCACCATTGCGGTTATATCACACATAATACCCTACCGCATTATATCCTTTGTAGCCACTGATCGCATGAAATTTCTTGTGATCGCATTACAAGAAATAAAAATCAAGAAGACCGACATACTTCAATTAAACAACGGAACTCTTGTGATTCGTGGAGAAAAGGTCTCGTCACGAAATGTCGGTGGCGTACGCTTTGTCGTCCACCCGTCCATCCATGCATCTCGTCGACTCATACGTGATCCTCTCCTCTCGCATAGCCGTTCTCCGTCTTCAAGTGTCGCATCATAAGAAGATCACTATCATCAACTGCTACTCACCGACTGACGCAGCTTATGAGTACGAATTAAATGCGTTCTACTATCAGTTGGAAGTAGTCATCCGCAATGATAAAGCATATCATAAATTTATTCTCGAAGACTTCAACGCCAGACCAGCAAAGGTCAACGAGAACGAATACAGGATCGGAAATTTTGGATTAGGAGAAACAAATGAGGATGGGAACCGTCTCGCAAAACTTCTGTCAGCAGCACGTCTGTTCCATGGAAACTCGTTTTTCCAGAAGAAAGAAACCCGCCGCTAGACATGGGAGTCTCTCAACGGCATGACTCATGCGGTGATCGACCATATTTTGACAAACAGAAGATGGTGCCTACTTGACACATCGGTAGTCCCGTCATTCTGTACTAGCTCCGATCACTGCCTTCTTCGCGCGAAGTTTTGATTCTGCCGCAAGCTGGAAAAGAACCCTCTTCATCGACTACGGGGAAAAAGTCTAGCTGTATACGATGAAAACATTCTGACCGAAGTCCTATCCAAACGTGACTGGCAGATTAAAGAAGACCCGACCGAAGACTACGAGCTACTTGTCGAAGGACTGAAAAGCTGCGCCGAATTCGCCTCAGTTCCCCAAGCAAGAAGATCGGATCGCATCTCCATCACTACTAGGAGTTGCTCGAAAAGAGAAGGAAGCTGAAGCTTGATCCTACGGCAACACGTTTAACATGGCTAGTAATAAATACCAGCTACATAAAAGCTTTGCAGGAAGATCTACGGTGGTACAAGCAGAAGAAAATACTGGAAGCAGCAAAAAAAGAAGCGGTCCGAAAAAATGCCGTCGGGCCTTGTGTGATTATAATGTTCCGCTGTCAGCCCTCATGAACGAAGATGGGATCGTCAAAACTTCCTGCCATGATATGAAATTAATAGCGGAAACGTTCTACACCAACCTTTTCCGTTTCACAATCTCCGTGTCGGGCCCTAATATTCCCGCTGGAGAAAAACCACCTCGAATTCTTCCATCGGAGGTTCGAGTTGCGATAGAAAGCATGAAAAGAGGCACAGCTCCAGAACCCGATAATGTTACTGCCGATTTCCTTGGAGCTGGAGGCCACAATTTACATGTACTCCTCGCAGATCATATGACAGGCTACTTTCAAAAGGAAAAATTCC